GACTTCCATATACATCTTTTTGCATCTCCTTTTTTTGAGAATAGTATAAGACATATATAAAACTTGTCTAAATTACTAGATTTTCAAGCCACAGAGTTCTAAGGGGAAAAAAATAGGATGGAGGGAAGATGGCAGGCTTCATGGTTCAGAAAGTCCTGTGGCTGAAGTGGCAAAAATGAGGAGAAAATGTAACTATCATTTGACCTTTACCTACATTTCAAAACAACATTGCTTTCTTGTCTTTAAGAAGTAAGAATAAAGTTATTTTCACAATGAAAATACTCAAAGTGTGAGATGCACTTTCTCACACACACTTAAATATCTATTGATGTTATGTAGCCTAATTAACCAGAAAGGACCTTCAGAAATTTGAAACAGCAAACAATAATAAAAATACCTACATTCTTTATTCACACTTTGGTGGTTTTCTGACAAGAACAAAAGAAGAAATTTGTTTGGCATATAATCTCTTGCTAAAGAAAAATATAACTCTGGTGATAGCTTAGCTAATGCCCGATAAATGTTTATCAACAGCAATAAATAAAAAGTAATGTAGAACTCTGAATTTTAAGGCCCAGGAAAACAATAAGTGTGAATAGGTGAGGTTCTTGTAGAGCACAATGTCTAAGTCTTCTATACATCTCTAGGGCCTAACAGTGCCTGTAGTGACATATATGCTGACTGAAGGAGGGTTAAAAAGCTGAAAGTGAATACAGAAATTATAATAGCGGAATATTATAGGAAAAGTCATGTTTAGTTACATGTTCTGTATTTTGCCATGTATAATGAGCACCTCTTTGTCCAAATTTTTGAGGGAAAAATAAAGATGTGAATAGTACTAATTCCGTATCTATCCAAATGTTTTAAATTCTCTTATAACAAGCTGTGATATATGTATACCATGGAATACTATTCAGCCGTTAAAAAAGATGGAGACTTTACATCTTTTGTATTAACCTGGCTGGAGGTGGAATGCATTCTTCATAGTAAAGTATCACAAGAATGGAGAAGCAAGAATCCAATATACTCAATTCTAATATGAAGGCAGTAGATGAATAGGGGAATGAGGGATTGGGAAGAGGGGAGGAGGGAGGAGTTCGGGGGTCATGGTCACCTTTTGGGGGTGGGACACAATTACAAGAAGGACTTTACCTAACAACTGCAATCAGTGTAAACGAATTCTTTGTATCCTCAATGCAGCCTTGGGGGAGGGGCATGTTTGGTGGCCAGAGTCCCCATTGCTTGGGGGCTTCCCACCATTTCTGGCGACCCTGTTCCCCACATCACCTCCATCCACTTGCTAATTTGCTAGCAATTCCTCCTCACTGGCTGCGTCCTGTTGGCGGAACTCTTTTCTCAGTACTCATCCTTCCTCATCTGCCAGTCACAAAGGCTGTGCTGAGACTCTGCTTCTGAGTGACCTGGACGCTTGACCCTTAGATTTCCAGTCCTCAAGCCCACTTTCCTTCTCACGCGTCGCTTGGAATCACTGAGCCTGACCATCCCAGCCTCCATGTCCAGATAGTCTCAGCCTCTTTCTCTCACTCCTGCCCCAGTGCTTGTCAGGGAACAGCACCTAATAAAGACACTGCCCGTTCTTCCCTACGTTTACTTTTCCTGAGAGCTCTGCTCAAGGCTCAGGAGGCCTGCCTCACGCATCTGGGCCACAATACGTCCCTCTTGGCTGATCAAGCTCAGAGACTGAGTTTCCTGCTCCCCTGAAAAGCAAATGTTTTCACAGACCATTTTCTTCCCAAACTCCACTGCCCCACTGGCCAAACGATTTCCATCCTAATTGCCCAGAATTCTTTCATCAAGACTATGAGGAAGCTGGACTGTCTCTGCTTTGGCAGGTGACAAGAACAAAGGGAATGGGAAGTGGGTGTGGGGTAATCCTTCCTGTAGTGTCTGGAGAACAGGGAAGATGGCCAAGAAATTCTCCAGAATTTTCATATATTTTGTCTTGGCCTATATTTATACACCAAAGTAGCAAATAATCTTGGACATAGGGGAATAAAATCATCTGTTTGTTGGTTACAGTCTCTGTCTGAGTGTGAGGAAGCAGGTGATTTCCAAGTGTGATGGGGACCCCAAGAGGGATAGGCAGAGGGATCAGGTGATTTCAGTGCTGGAGCCCCCAGCCCTTGATCCCTGTGTAGATGAGAAGCGAGAAGGAGGGAATCGTGGCTATGGAACCGAGGACAGAGAGGGCTGCATGTTGTCACAAACAAGTAGTCACTTAGCCTTAAGTGTTATGAGAAAGATAATCTCCACCCTTTATATGGTCACATAGAAATGTGATTTCCAAATGGCTTCTCTTTTCGGTCAATGTGGCTCTGAAGTCTTCTGTGAAAAAGTTTGTACTAATGAGTAGGAGGTATGTGTCCCTGTCACAATGTCACCACACATACAGGAGAACAGGGACTTCAGAGTTACCACTAGGGGTATAATTAACCTAAGCGCTTATGTGTACCGTTCCCTTATTAAGCCTGCTCCATTGTTGCTAACTCTCCTCTCTTTTGTTGTCATTAAGGTTTAGGAAATGCTGAGTCAGGTGTCAGAATGGAGGTGACAGAGCCTATCACAGGGACTTGCCCTTCTGGAGCTTCCAGAATCTGCATGTATTAGGTAACATAGGGAAAAAAACACTCCACATAACCTATAGCTTCCTATAAATAAAAACTATAAATACCAAATTGGAGCAGAGCTATCTACTGAGATCTGGTTGCCATCCTTTCTGTTGAGCTAGTGATTCTGGAAAAGTATGTGTGGAGCAGGGTCGCTGTGCACGGGGGAAGTTTGTCTGAGTCATGTGAGACAGACCCCCCACACACACACACAAGTCAGATGATGTGAGCTTAGTGGCCTAAAATATCCAAGACTCCAAAAGAAGCCAAAATTAGAGGAACAGAAACATAGAATGAGTAGGAGAAATGCAAACATGGTAGATTGAAATCCATACACTCCAGTTCAAATAAATGATTGACAGACTTGATTAACAACATCAAACTGCTCTGTCAGGAGACACACCTAAAATCCGGGGCTGCAGGTGGATTCAATATAAAAGCATAGGAAAAGATAGGTCATATAATCCTAATAGATAATAAAAATCTGAATAGTTGGTAATAATATCAAACAAAATACACTTTGGGTGAAAAGTGTTAACTAGAGACAAAATTGGTGTTTCATGATGAAAATGAACAGTTTCACCAGGAAAGAATAGTACCTGAAACTGTAATTAGAAGTGTGTGTTCACCTAAGGATGTGGCCTTAAATTGTATTGAGCCCAAATTGCCATAATAACAAAGAAAAATAGAATCCTAGTGGGGGCGCTGTAAAAAGTTTTTATTCAAAAATGTAAAACACTCACAAAAGTAGAACTTCCTCACGTCCAGTGCTGAGTATCAGTGACTACTAACTCCTGGCCAAGTCTGTTTTCTTTGTATTCACAGCCACTTCTGAGCTTGCTTCTCTCCCCCACCTCACCACTAATTATTTTGAAGTAAATTATAGATATCATTAAATTAAAATATCATTTGTAGATATTTCAGAACGTGCCCTAAGAGACAAGGAATTTCTTACATAATCATGGCAACATACAATTCCTCCACAAAGCAACAGTAACTACCGAATATCATGAAATTTTGTGTTCAAATATCTCTGACACTTCTATAATATTTTAGAATTCATTTGAATCATGCTATTTAATATGTTGGCAAAACTGTTACCTGGCCCTTCCGGTCTCTTTCCCTGTTGGATTTTTCATAGTAGTATTTGCCATTAGCATACTTTTTTGTTCATTTATCTGTGTATTTAACATCTGTCTGCCCAGCAGAGCCGTGCTGGCCATATTGACAGCTCACTATCAGTAGAACTGTTGAATAAATGAAAAGCTCGGAGTTTGATAACAAACAAATCCTTTGTTTTGTAAAAACATTATGGAAAGTACAAGAATAATAGATGGGCCACAGCCCTAGGATGCCTAGTAAACCTTTCCCCACTCCCCCTCCCTGTCCACCATGGGCATGGCTATGTGAGCACTATAAAGGTATAGGAATGTAATGCTATAATTCAAATAAAAAAAAAAAAATCTGTAGACCTGCAACAGTAAAAACACAAACAAAATTCAAGGGCCCACTTTGCCTTGTAGATACAACTCATTGCCTGTTTAGAGTTGCCCCAAAAGCCTTTCCTAAAGCCAGTGTTGGTTTGAGGAAAAAGGTGACCGCTGGACATAGTGATCCCTGACCTTCCCTGGCCCAACATTAGAGGGTGTAATAGGCCAAATTCCCCCTCTGCCTGTGCTTGGGGAGCTCATGAGATCCCCAGTCCCATTTTATGATGCTCATTCAGAATAATGGTCTCAGCCTTAGAAGTTCAGTCCTCCAGGTAAAGACCTGGACTTCCAGAGTCAGGACATGCCTGTCTTCCTAAATCTTTCCTTCTAACGATGTCCTCAGAGAGAGAGTCTAGGAGTGGTAGAGCAATTTCCCTTGGGGATTCCATGCCAGGGAGGTTGAGCTTAGGACACTAGCTAGAGATTTAAGCAGGTCCTTGGAGAAATGGGGCCTGAAGAGGGCAGTACGAGGTAATAGAGGAGGCAGTTAGAAAGGAGGTACAGTGCCAGAAGTTCAGGACAGTATCCAAAAAGAGAGCCAGGTCAGGTGTGGGCGGAGCTGTCATCAGTGTCCCTACCATTCCTGGGTCACAGTATATCCCAGGCGGGGAGGGCCATGATTACATGGAGAGAGCAGGGTTAAAGATCAGCTCACCAACCCCTCCTACTGACTGCTGGCGGTTTGGGACGCACATTATCCAATGGAGCAGCATCCAGGGAGGAGGGGGACACCTGCGAAAGGAGACAGACAGAACACAGCAGTCTCTTACCTCTTCCCAGGCTCACAGTGAGCACCTCTGGCACGCGAAGGAGCACTGAGTTCATTAGCTGGGCACAGGGTGCACAGCCCCGGCTGGGCTCCGTGGCTTCTGCAAGAGATAGCATGGCTGGGCAGCGGGTGCTGCTTCTAGTGGGCTTCTTTTACCCTGGGATCCTGCTCTCAGAGGCTGCCAAAATCCTGACAGTATCTACAATGGGTGAGTTCTTGGCCATGACACCCAGACAGGCGTGGCATATGCACAGTTATCCTTGCCCCCAGGCTCAGGCTGAGAGTGCTTGATCAGAGGGTCCTCCATGTCGTTTTCTAGCCTGGACTTGTGTTCCAGGCTGGAGGAAAGAGAAGCTGATATGGTTATGGGGCAGAGCCTCTATTGTGTGGGGGGGTGGGGGGTGGGGGAAACGAGATCATTTTGCAGAAAACACAAACTCTTTTCCTCTCTCTTTCTATTCAGGTTGCGATCCCCATTGCCCAGGGCTGGTGCCAGAGGTTTGAGAGTCATCCCAGAGCCCTGGCTGCCTCATGCAGCACCTGATGGGGTTTTCAGAGGCTGACCTTAAATTCCAGGGGTTGGGGGTGCCCAGTAGCTTTCAGCAGAAACTGTGGCAAGTGTTTTCAGATTCCTCAAGGCCAGGGAAACTCACTCTCAGGACAGCATCGCATATTTTCTGAGTCTCCTTCAGGAGTAAAGGTGGGCAGAGAAGGCCTTTCGCGACAGGGCAATGGAGTGTTTTCATGTAGAGGAAAATGGCACAGGGAGAGGGAGGACCCAGGGCATTTGGATGTTGTGGACCTTCTTTCATTTGTGCTGCTGGAAGTTTTTGGAGGACTCAAGGGACAGTGCATTCTGCAGTTTGTCAGCTCATTTTTATTCCTTGACTTTTGTTTCAAAGGAAATAAAGGATTAGAAAGAAACGTCAGTGGTGTTCAAGCTTTTTTCTTTTCTGCTGCACACTGGAAGAATAACAATTGTCTTGGGCCACACAGTAAATGCACAAAGGCTAATGAAAGTTGATGAGCAGAAGAAAAGCTCTGTACATACTTTTCTGATCTGACGTCATAGATAAGCAAAATAGTTCTTAAGTAATCTGAATTGGCCTGTGGGCCACAGTTGGACACCCCTGACTGCATGGGGATAAATGGGCCATCCCAGGATGAACCTCCCCAAGGCTTCATTTCAACCTGTAATGGGCTCTTTTAGATCACTTCTAGGTCTCCCAGATGAGTGGATTATAGAGCTGGAAGGAACCAGCATTAGATCATCTATTTCAGGCCCTACTTGGATTTCCTGAGTGGGCACCTGAGGGTCAGGGGAGTGGGGTGTCGGGTGCCTTTTGCAGGACTACCTCTGGCCTCCCTGATGGCACAGGAGGACCTTAACTCGGGGTTTCTTTCCTCAATCCCATCCTCACCACAGCTTCTGCTCTGAAGTCCTCTTTAGTGGTAGTTTTTAAAAGCACTGTTTGAGAAACTGTGCAAGTCCATTTGAAACCAATTTTTTTTCTTTCTGATTGTTAGTGGCAATGAAGCAAAAGTTTCCTTACTTCGTGAGTGTAAACTGTCCCCCTTCCTCAGACTCCAGAGGGAGCTGGTCCAGTTTCTGAGGTGCTATAATCCCACCTTTGCCCCATAATGCTGCCTGGCTCTCCTAGACCCACCATGTATGGCTGTTTCTGTAGGGATCTCTTCTTCCTGGCTTCCTGTCCAGACATGGATTAAAAATGAGAGCATAGTGGGCAGGGAATATGGACTTTATAAGTCCCTTGTTGCTTCAGTATATACAAGTCTGTGTATGAGAAGCTGGGTCATGACCAGAGCTGCCCATTGCTTCTCTAACTCTCCTCTGCTTCCAACCCCAGCCCCAATTTCTTGGTATTAGCCAGTAACTTCTCTTTTGATCTGCCTTTCTCTGGTGCAGAGACCTTAAATTCAAGGAAAGGCTCTGTGCTGGAACATGGTCTAAGAAGACAGTCATGTCATGGGAATTGGATCTCTTTTGAAGCATCAAGTTTCTCTTTCTTTAGGGTGGTGGGATTTTTCTAGAATCAGTGAATCCTTAGTCTCTTGTGCAACTAGGATCCAACATGCCCAACCCATGTGCTCTCCTGCTATGCCTTAATTACATGTTGAGCACTATTTAGGTCCACATTGAAGAAGCTTCCTTCCAAATATATTTGAATCTTCAAGATTTTGGCTCCAAGGGGTGGCTTTAAATCCTTCTGTTCCAAAGGCCATGTTTTAGACTTATCTTTTTACTCTGGTATTTCAGTCTCCTATGGCAGCATGCATTCTGAAAAAGAAGGATCTCAGAAATAGCTCTGACCAACGGCCTGTTAGGAGCCCTTTCCACTAATAAGCTCAACACCATACCTATGTTTCCACTGATGCAGTTATTTCTTTATACAGGATCTCTCTATAAGGGCTCAGTTAAAATTCAGTGCACACCTTCGGGTGAGGAAGCTCATCATGCTGACACAGAGGCTATGAGTCACAAGTGGCCATCTCTGATGGAGGATTATCACAGATTAGGGGTTTGGGTACCATGATCTGGCTGAAGGGATTGGGAGTTACCCAGAGAGAGATGGAGAGACCAACAAATGTCATCTTCTACTCACTCTAAACTTTCTCTTTCCCTATCCTTTCTGTCCTCAACTCATCACCCTACATACATCAGACACTGTATTCTCAGCATTACAGACTTGAAGTTGTGCATTGTTCCTAGGTGGAAGCCATTATCTGCTGATGGACCGGGTGTCTCAGATTCTGCAAGATCATGGTCACAATGTCACCATGCTTAACAAGAGAGGAAATTCTTTGATGTCAGGTATTTTTTTTATCACTTATTCTTGCATACTACTACTCTAGGCAAAGGGCAAAATGCCTTTGGCAAAGGAAAGCTTAGCAAAGTGTTTTTAAAATATAATTTGATCAAAAGAGTGAAAGGGGTGTTTGTATATGTATGTACGTGAAC